TGTGACACACATGAGTCGTAGGTCCACCATGGAAGACTGATTCATTAGATTAGATTCATCCGACTTGATTTGTACTACAAGTAAACAAAGAATGTTACGTTCAGCACATAAGCACAATGTGTGAAGACCATTTCTGGTGTCCCTGTCAATGATACAGCTGGAATACTGCCAAAAGAGGGATGAAACCTCACTCACTGCAACCAATCACAAAGTGTATGCTACAGTTATTCCACACTATTATGGTACGGGAGGTATATGTATGTGTATCATGCGCTAGGTATATACGCAGCATGCATACACATACCCGACTTCTGCAGTTTGTATTTCAAACACATTTCTTTTATCATTTACCAAACATATAACCACTTGCATACACTGAGTATCACCGGCATCATCAACACCATCAACACCATCACCATCAACACCCTGGCCACTGGGCAGTGGACATGCCAGTTCAAGGTCATCCAACACTTCTTGTTTCTCCATGGACTTGCCGACCAACAATAGCCAGATGGACATCCGTGAAAAGAAGCGCAGTACTTTGACCGAGTTGACCAAGTGAACATTGACAAACACTCAGAGTGGAGGCCTCGAGGTCCCCAGGGCTTGAAGCAGGGGTTGACGAGGGGCTGTTGGTTTTGTGTGGAAGATGCTAAGCCTGCAGCTGTATTTCCCCCGAGAGACAACCCTGATTCGTGTGTGGATGCTCTTTGTTGTCTGTAATCTGTAATTACTCAGGGTGTGGTGAAAATCCTTCAGCAGTTAATCGCGGCTCAAAGAAATTGGGTTGTTATTGGCATTTGAAGATGGAAGAAAATGGTGTCTCCTCAAAATTGCGTGGCCGTTAAGCGGAAGCTTTTCAAGTGAAAATGATTAATGATTAAGAAATCAATCTCAGAATCATAAAATGCAATTGTATTGGAATTGAATAGGAAAATATGAAATGAATTTGTTAACAAGATACCATTTGTGAACAGAATAGTCTGCGGGGGACCCCATGCTTGTAAGAGGAGATTCATGGGATCGTTTGGTCAGGATAGGTGACATGATTGATATTTAAAAAAAATAAATTTATTGTGACTTTTATTGTGGTATCCAATCTGTGCACATTGATGCTCAGGATGTTACACAAATCATTGTCTGGTTCAGATTCGATAAGGGGCAGTGGGGTAGCCTAGAGGTTAAAGCGTTCGCTCGTCATACTGGTTTCGATTGCCTATCTGGAAAGAATGTGTGAAGTCCATTTCTGGTGTCCCCCGGCTGTGATATTGCTGGAATATTACTACAAATGGCGTAAACCAAACTCACTCACTCCGTCTGATTCGTTTAATTGTGATAAATTGGAATGTTTCTGTGTATGGCAGTAGATAAGGAACATGTCAGAATATATTTTTGACATTATTTGCTGGACATGTTGCTTGTCTACCCCCTGCATAAATTCTAAATTAACATATGACTATTCACCAATGCAGGCTGAGGCTTGCTGTTTGACGCAGCAGCTGAACGAATGAAGCGTGGCACTGGTTCAGTGTCTCTCAGGAAGCCAGCTAATTGACAACAGATTTAATTGTTCCAGCAAGTGGCTTGTATTAAGTTGAGGTGATTCGGTTCACATGTACCAGATGCTTGGCCTATCAGGTTGTTTTCATCCCAACATGTCTGACCTTTGAAGGGAGATAACTCCCAACCAAGTGGCTTTTTGAGAGGCTGCTGGCGAAGGTTTAGAAGGTCAGATGTGTGCTTGCTGTGCCTGTTGCGCCACAATCTGTTGCATTGTTACTATAAGTTTATATCCACTCCTGAATATCAGAATCAATAGACACCTGAATTGATAAATGCAAAAATATTCCTCATTTTAAAATGCTGTAACCAATTTCTGTTTCGTTAAAATGAAATCTCATCCAGCAATACATGTACATTTAACAAATCTTAATAAATATAATTTAAAAACTACCATGGAAGTACAGTATAATAGCTAGCAAAATATCACAATTTCTTTTTATAGTTTGTGTTAATTTTCTACAACTAGTTGTAAAACAAATTGTGATATATTGTTCTTGTTATACTGCCCTTCGATGACGTATCGTAACCCTACCACTTGTTCCAATCACAAAATACTCTGAAATAATGCTGACGTGACTTAAACTATTAACTCACTCACTCACTGCATCAAGGTCATAGTGGGGAGGTAACTGCTGTTGATTCATCATACTACTGTTGCTACAATCGTCCAGCACTACGACTTGTACTGGTCTACATGTGTACACCAGATAGAAAATGATCAACACGACAATCTCAGCCAGGGAATCGTTGTTCAGATAGTCATCGTGAAAATATACAGGTTGTATTTATATAGAGATAATTCCCTCTCCATTGTGCTGCAATATCTGACAAATAGGGGTCTATCTACACTGGAGAATGTGAGACACCTGTGGCCAGGTGATTGACGACTTGGGGCTCAATGATTGTTGCTTGGCAACTAATGAAAATTGATAGATGGTAGATGTGAATGGTTATCAATGAACCGCTCTTGATATGATGCAGGTTCTCAGTGGATGATGATGAAATATAGATGTATAATGTATTTTCATGCATAAACGTTTTTGTTTGTGTGTTGGATGATGAGGATTAAAACTTGGTTACATTTTCCAGACAAAATGGGTGTTTGTTGACTGTCAGTAAAATTTGTTTGTACTCATCTAATTCAAAATGTCAGGTATTGAAAACTATCTGGTTCGAGACGAGTCTCTGCAGAACACTTGGTGATCACAGAATGTTGAATACCTGTGACAGGTAAACCCAGGTGTGAACCTCATTAAGAGCATCTGAAACCAACACCTGTTTATACCTGTAGGGGTTCAGATGCAGGAGATTACTGTTCGACCGTTTCCATAGCAACCATCAGCATTACATAACTGTACATTATAAAAGCCTCAGACTTCGATAGATATATGTGGATGGGAATAGACGTGGTGGAGTCGGAACGCTGAATGATTCATGTGATAATTGTACCCTGCATCAATAGGGCGAACTGATTTATACTGAAAACATATTTCTGTTCCACCAGGACTACAATCAACAGAAACATGTTAATATTGTATCTATTGATAGGGTTTTAAATTGGCAGGCATGTATCCACATTACAGGGCCTGAATTCATACAAGTGTATCCAGATCGGGATATTGTGTTATTATTCAAGACTCCCGTGAAAGGACGTGCCGCCATGTTGTATGGGTGTATACGTCTACTGGTGGTCATGCAAGGAGAGCATTTGTTGCTGAAGTTAGGTAGAGGTCATGCAGGTGCAGTTTACAGACATTTAATGTGTTGTGTGGGGAGCGGTATGTGCTGAATGGCTTAGGGGGAAGACTGTTTTGGCACAAAGCTGTACAACTGTCAAAAGTTGTGTGGCCAGTGGTGTTACACATATAGTTGGTCGAAGCTTTCCTACAAAATAATTTCTGGGAAAATAGTTATCAAGACTTTACAGTTTTATATATGCATTTTGTTTTGTTAAAGATATATGGTACAACTTTGTCTGATTATTCTCGGATCGGGTGTTTTATTTACAGTTTTATCATAAGTGAGTGAGTGAATTTAGTTTTATGCCGCTTTTAGCAATATTCCAGCAATATCACGGCGGGGGATACCAGAAATGGGCTTCACACATTGTACCCATGTAGGGAATCGAACCCGGGTCTTCGGCGTGATGAGCGAACGCTGTAACCACTAGGCTACCCCACCGCTCTCTTTTATCTTAAGACCTTAGTGAGAGAGTGTCTGGTAAACAAGCAAACGTTCAGCAGCAAACAAACAATCCTTGCAATGCGGTCATCAAAACTGCCTCAGCCTAAATAAATTAAAGAGTGTCTTTCCCACACATTTAGGTCTAAATTAGAATGAGATTAGGAATTAAATGAATTATTGACATCCAGTGTAACCAAGCAGAATCCTGCGAGGGGTATGGTTCACAATGGCCGGGGACAACGTGCAAAATTTGTGAAGACGAGCATGAATTATTCACTGCTGAACTCTGCCAAACAAAAATCAAAATATAATCAGTTAGTGAGTGAAATCATGCGTAGGCTGTAAGCAGTGGTCGGACATGACTCAGGAATGAAACATTTCGTATGTCTTTTGATTGGGTTGACTGAGTTCTGGCATCCAGCCTTGATCAGTCAGGGCTGGTCATGTTTCCGTTACCATGACAACTCATTGCTTGTGGCAGAAGTTTGAACAAACATAAATACTGGTTAACCTGTTTATTTGTGGGGGGTCATCTGTTTTCCCACATTTCGCACAGTTTGGGGGAGTGAGAAAGGGGGCATATGTTGTGCTCATGTCTTGGCTGACAAATAAGTGTTTGGATTTAAACAACTCTTGATAAGGCTATTAACATGGAATGATCTGTGTAAGAATAAACTTGACATTCCATGAGAATCAGTCCTTTGTATAATGGAAAGATAAGATATCCCATCAAAAGTAGAACAGTATTTGGTAATCTTGGATGAGGTGAAATTATTATTTAAAGTTGCAGTCAAAATAACTTCACGTAATTAGAGACATGTATGTGTTTGGCATAATTTCAGACTAGTACAAGCGGCTAGACTATTTAAAACTCAAATATTAATTATGTACAGCCTAAATTTTAATAAAATTTGCTTTAATGATTAACATTAGTGTGTTTCTATAAACAAAATGAAATTGGATTAGTTTTGCGAAATGGAAACAGACAACCCCTCGATGGTGTGAAATGTTTTCTTTCTTGATGGTCTGACGATAAAAATGAAATGGGATACTACACTAAGTATTGGTCTCCACAGATTTTGTTTAAACGGCAGCTTTTGAAATAAGTTGCAGGAGAATTTCACTTAAATCAACCATTTTCTTTTCAGACATTTGTCTGCACTCATAATGTGTGCAGCAAAGCAGCTTCACTTAAAATAAACAATGCAGGGTTGTTGAACCAAGATGCTAAATGTCTCCTACCTTCCTTGCAGGTCAGCCCCCAAGCCAGGGTTTGACGGAACGTGATGTCATAATCATCGCCTGTGTGTGTGCCATCATCATCATCACGCTCCTCACGGTCCTCGTCTGTTTTATCTGCAAGAGGAAACGCAACCAAGGTAAATACAAAACAAAAAATCAGTTACTATGGTTATAGCCGACAATATTGACATCAAAGTTTCCATGCTACACTCCATTACTAATTTACCATGGTAAATAACAGTAAATAATTTACCATTGTAAATTGGATGATGAGAAATACTGATGTCAAACAATTTTTCCATTGTAAATACTGCTAAGAAAAGATTTTTTAATGAAATAACATCATCAGCATAATGTGTCCTGATCACCATATATACAATATTAGTGGTATGACAATAGCACACGTTACCCATCCTGATCGAGGACCTCCTGACCTGCATCTGTCCCCAGCCCGTCTTAAAGTCCTAGAGTATTAGTTGAAAAAGAAGTCCAGCTCAAGTCTAAAATATTTGGACAATGTTGTTCTGAGCGCCTTATGGATTTTATTCTATTTTCTTTTCTTTTGTAAATATATATTTTTAAATAAAATAAAAGTATTTCTGTGACTAAATGTCAGTCTCATGAAAACCCTTCAGGTGCACACGGTGCTCACACAATTCAAACATGTCTCTGAACAGGCATTTTACATTTCTTAGATCCAGCCACACATTTAGATAATCGTGTAGCAATGTTCCATGTGAAGACTTGATCATAAAATAATCATTAAATAACTAGACATGTTATAGGGATACATAAAAGAAAACATTACGTCACTGAAATGTAAATATTTCATTGATAATATAAGTACATGTACGAAAATATTTTATTGAAGACGAATTAATTTGTAAATCAAAATATTGCATTAAGGATGTATAAGAAAATATATTCTTCTTCAAAACAAATTCTTATTGTTATATTTAAACAAGAAACCCTTGGAGAAGATAAGAATAGTTTCACCACATGTCAACGGAATCAATCTTGGGTTTCTATCTCAGCCCAGGAGGAGGGTACAATTGACCTATTGTCCGATACTGGGATAGTTGATCTCCCTAAATACACCTAAATCCCCAACTTTATATCAGGGCTGCAGGTTTAAGGGCCCTTTGTGTGACTAACCAGATAAGACGAGAATATACAACAGGGTCAAAGTGTCAAGCAGAAGAAATTAAAATTTATTCTTATCTGCCAAGTTCCAAATTTGTCACTGCAGTATTTTATGGTATATTGGTCACTGTCAAGTAGGGGGTCAGTGTTGGTGTACCTGATCCAAGACTGAAAATGTAAAATTCTGCCATGCTTGAAACAAATAAGGGAACACATGAAAGTAAAAGTGTTCCTTTATTTATTTCCAGAATTTCACCCACAGTGCAATACATACCTTGTGAAGAAACCAGGAAAAGTATAAAGGAACACTTGTACTTTCATGTGTTCCCTTATTTGTTTCCCTGAGTATAAACGGTCAATGTTGAACACATCCTATAGTCAGTTTCCAAACTGTAGTTTTGATCCTTTGTGTTATATTGAACAGAGAAAAACCAAACCCAATATGTCTATCATTAATCAATGATTCTCTGGTGAAAAGTTTAACATTGACAAGTTACTCTATGGAAATCTGAAACAGGCTATATTTTTGTGGAGAAGATCTGATATTTCGGTGCAGCTGATGGCATTTACAACTAGGGTGAATATTTGTTCAAGGACATGCCCACAATAGAATGACAAAAACACCTATTGTTCAAGCAGATGTTCAAAGGAAGCTCTTGTCAATTAAAACCAGTTGTCTGTCGAATAGCATCACACAATACTATTGACTCCAGAGGTATCAGTTTAATTTCTCTCCATGTTCCCACGGGGAGTTTGAACAGAACTGTGGCCGACTCCAGGGTGAACTTTAAACTTGGAACGGAGCATTTTTCCAGTGGAAGTTATATTTGAGTGTGAAAGATTCGTATCAATGCTGGACAAATGACTAATATTGACCGAGTGTGACCTCTTTGGACATTAAGCCAGATTAATTTCAGGAGCTCAATATAGTTGATTGACATTGTCTTTATTGCAAATTAATCTGGCAGTTTGGATGTGTGTTACACCAGAGAAGAACTTTGTCAATTGACGAAATCTCAATATTTGACAAACTAATGGCGAATTGAGTCTGTTACTGGACAAACTTTCTGGCAAGATTTAATTGACAGTTAATATATGCAAGCTTAAGGCTTTGGGACGAATAAACACACCGTGAAGTGGATTTGAACGAATAAGTGACGAAAGTTTAGAAACATCAAGATGACAGCCAGACCAGTCAGATATTCAGACATGCTGTTTACCAGACAACATGTTGGTGGTGAGTTTGAAAAGAAATATTAAAATACACCAGCAAGTTAATTCATGTATTTTTTCACATCCTTTTTAATGATTTTAATTGTTACTTCTTCTTTTTTCAGCAAAGGAATATACTTCGGAAAATCCTGCGTGAGTACCTCGTATTTTGTCTGTTTTATCAGTTTAACAAATTTATGAAGAACAGCTTAGTGTTTATCCCCGTCTCATGTGAATTAATCAATTTGATTTTTATTTTTGGTTTTGCTTTATGTCACATGGCATGTGATAGATAAATGTATATTCAGTTGTGTCATGTCAAACCATCGGGTAAATAAATGTGAGTGAGTGAGTTTGGTTTTACGCCGCTTTTAGCAATATTCCCGCAATATCACAGCGGGGGACACCAGAAATGGGCTTCACGCATTGTACCCATGTGGGGAATCGAACCTGGGTCTTCGGTGCAATGAGCGAACGCTTTAACCACTAGGCTACCTCACCGCCCCCTGTTGTGTCATGCCAAACCATTGGGTAAAATAGTTTTAAACAAGTCGGTGGATGACACATTCAAGATGGAATCTGTCACCAGTGACAATGAAAACAAGGTGTTTGTGAGAAGGACGCTCGACACCAGGTGTCTGTAGAATTGTGGTAGGCTGGTGGTAAATGTTTTGCCACAAGTGAAGCTGAGAGCAAAACTGATATCAGTGATGATACCGGGTACCCATGAGGGAAAGACAGATTCTGGCTTTCATGGACGACTGCAGGGAAAACAAACAAATATAATTATTAAACCCAGGGGCTCTGCTGCATATGTACAAACAGTCCTAGCCGTCACACATATCTTAATCTCCATGTATCCTATTTCAGACGCAGACCTCAACCAATTAATGGTAGTGTAACAAATTCACAAAAAACGCCCCAAGCTTACGACAACACAGGTATGACACAGTTGGATGTCCTCGAGTTGGATGACCCTAGCATTAATGGAGCTTTTGCACGTGATTCTGCTCTGACTAATATTAATAATGGTTGTAAGTATTGCATGCTAGTTTAGACTGAGTTATCTCCCTTTACAGTGGGTGCGAGGTGTTAACTAGACACTTAACGGTCGAGTTTAGCTCTGGGACAGGGTCTTGTTGGATTTGGTATCTGTGGAATTATGAAGATTTAACATCACTGGTGATGGAAATTACCAAAGGTGTGGGTCATGTAGAATAGTCAGCAGCTCACATGCCAGGGGAGATAACTCACTTTTATAATCTTCTCTGTTTCATCTGTATTCAATTCAAAGAATATAATATGTAACCTTCTCAAAAATGAAATAACATTTCAATGAATATCCAGATCTAATCTGCACGGGTTTACTAACAATGTGAATCTTGAACTCTGAATTAAAATAATTTCCAACTTATTAATTTTTGACAATATTTTGGTTTGTCTTATATTTTCAAAATATAAGTCATAAATAAGATCCATGTCAAGTTCTTTGCATGAGCATGCCAAGTGCGATGTCCTATACAGTAGATGAGTTATCTGTGGTAGAAATTTCTCTTCTCTCTCCCAACCTGACTACCCTTCAAGCCATCTTAGTACCACCATCATCAAAAGATGGGTGAGTCCAGTTTTGGAAAATAGGGTGGAATGGGTTGCTGCATCATCTTATAAGTCCTGTCTGACTTCAGTAATGCTATGCCCTTATGACTAATTAAACATATAAAATTAAATCATTCTTAAATATTTTCTCAACACCAGATGGGCCATTGGAACTGAAGCGAAATGGGCACATTCCTTATCGAGACGGACATCTGCGACCCAATGGCAATATCGTACATGACACGTCATACGATTCCCAGTTAGAGAAACAGATATTTGAAAATGAAATGAATCGAAGGAATGAAAGTATGAAAATTTCAATATTGGAGAATTGGAGAGAAAATTGAAAACTTAATTTGAGAAAGAGGTTACAGAAATATATACTTTTCTTTTTCACTTTCCCATATATCCAAGTCTGTGTTTCCTTTTGATGGTAGAGGAAAGTTTCTATTTCATTTCTTTCAAACATGTACCATAAGTTTTGTGTTAAAAATACCTTGAATCTCAACTTTGAAAACAATATGTATGGCTGGAAAATATGTTGAAAAGCTGTATTTTATTTTTACATGAAAACGAAAACATCAATCCCTTTCTCAAAATATGTTTTGAATTCCTGATACCTGTTGTAAAGTGCTCCAGGAGATAACAACATGAATTATTTATGCAAATGATATGCTAATGAAGATAAATCATAATATACAATCATCTGAGCTTGATGAGTTTCGAACTTAGGACAGGGGCGATGTAATCAGTCATGGTTCATGTCCAACTGTAAACTTTGTTTTACATAATCGCACAACTTTTTAGATATGCACTACAACTTTGTTTTTCACAGTCTTGTAACTTGGAGCACTTTACAATAGTATATATATCTATATTTGTATGTCGAGTTTGTTTTGTCTGTCTTGAAATTTGTGAAGTTGTGTTTTGGTGTGAGTTGTTTACATATAGCCTCAAATATTTGGTTTGATGCACTAGCATATCTAGACAAAGCTTGTGTGGTTCCATTATGTAAGTGTTTTTCGAAAATACTACCTTCCTTAAACATTGTCTTGTTTCAGAATGTGCAGTTATTTTCCTAACCACTTAATATATTGTTTGGGAAATCAGCCTTAGTTTGAACTTTTGAACACTATCTAAATTATTCATTACAATTAACTGTTTCTACAAATTCCTGCTAGAGTGTTGACTGTTTATTGTATGTGGTTATTTTATATATTTCAAGTATTTTATTTGTTTTTTAATTCTGTTTTCCAGACAACAGCAAAGGTAGCAGGCCAGGAGGTAAGATATGCAGATACTTATAAATAATTGTAAAATGATTGTGAGTGTCTTGGATATGGAAACCAGATCACCTAGGGTAAACAGCAGCACAAACCTGGGATGGATTCAAACCCACAGTAGGATGTTGGCTTGTCTGGAATAACTGTACCCACAAACCGTGATGACTATCAGTTTATGGGTGTGACGATCTGATACCCTTAATGATTGATAACTAATGTCGGAGACCAGTCTTGCTGACCTGGTTGACACATGTTGTCATATCCCAATTGCGTAATTCAACGCTTATGCTGTTGATCACTGGATGGTCTGGTCCAGGCTTTTGTTTACTGACAGGTGCCATATAGCTGGAATATTGCTGAATGCAACGTTTATCAACAAACAAACCAATGATAACTGATGATTTGGTACCTATGGTGATTTGATACCCGTGATTATTTTATGTCTGTGATGATTTGATACCTGTGTTTGTTTGATACCTTGATTATCTGATTGTCATGATGCAATGTGTGTGTTCCAGAGCTGCAGTTTCACGGTATTCCACGCAGTCCCACGAAGGAGAAGTACATGGACCTGGAGGAGAAGAAAGAAGGCAGCCTTCAGTCCGGCCAGGAGAGCGGATATTCCACACCAGACCCGAACAAACCCAAAAAGGTTATATATGAAGTCGTTGTCTGAACCTGTCCCGTGTTTTCTATTGGTGGATCCCAACACTCTTCACCCTTCACTGAGCTTGTCCTCAAAGCTGATTGGCTGAAATGTCAGGCAGAAATGTGTGACAGCACACAGAGTAAGTCAGTCGTTCGCCTCTCATTCTTTGCCGGTCAAAACCTCGTACCTCATGTGTGTGTGTGATAAGACAAAAGAACTTATCCCTAAGTTGGCGTGGCTGCCAAGGGAGATAACTGTGATCGCACTTCCGTGCTCTTGTGCTTCCAATGTGGCTGCAATCAGAAACTATTTGACCTTTGTGGAACCGTGACCATGTATTGTGATTCTCAAAATGTGTGCATGCTTGTGACCTTGACCCCCGTGGTGACCTCTGTATGGAATGACCTTCAGACTATGTACAACTGCACTATGAAGTCCTATCTGCTGCACCAAGTTGAACTTCGACACTGATGGTCATGTGACCTTGACAGTGATGTGTCATGTGACCTTGACCCTAATGAGGGCTAACGTGGTACATATCTGAACAGACAATTGTGTTAGGTGAAAACAGACAGTTACAGGGCCAGCGTGCGCCAGAAGCATGACAGTGAACAGTGCAGACATATCGTCGATGAAAACAAGCTGCCATTCAGCATTACATGATTAATATTTTTATATGAAAAATGGACAACACAGAGCTAAAGCTCCAACTGTTTATATGGTGCTTTCCATGTCACACACAATCAAGTTTGTGTGGTGCCGCGGTGGCTCAACTAAATTAAGCAGACGTTTGTTACTTGGAAACCACCGATCACCATTGTTTATGTTTAGTGTTGCATATGTCATGTGACTGTTGGTATGGATGAGGATCGACACTCGCGTAGTCTTGCTTACCCCATAGAATACAGACTCCTGCACGTCTTGGACCTGGGATGTCATGTCCAGAAATATACTCCTCAAAAGAAGATAAGGAACACCCAAAGGTTTCCACCTGAAAACCTGTCGATCAGGGCCCCAAACATCTCGAAACATCCCCTCACAGATGGTTGCTTACATGGAAAGGAAATACATACTTCATCAAATGCTTCATAGACAATGAATATTATTTACCAGCAGTGGAAGACATGTTATTATGATAGACGTGACTGGTGAACTAGAGTCATATAAAAAAACCAGTTGTTCCTTCACTTCTTTTGAGCAGTATATGAAGAATATTTGAATGAAGGGCAGATAAGTGTATTGTTATTAATCTCAGGTGAAGCATTAAATGTGTACAATAATCAAAATCCCAGACTGTGCGCTTCTGCGTATACTGAAGATTAGTTGTAGGCTAGTAGTGTCAGTGTACAGTAGAGCTCCACAGCATAATACTTGCATGAGAACAAATGTTAGTATTTGACACATTTTTCAACAGTTTTTAGACCAAATGACAAAAAGTTTTCTGTTTTTACTAAGTAAAATCAAGTGTGTTAACAATAAACCAAAGATGCTTCAGTGATGTTATGGAATTGAGAATACCATATTTTATATCTCGATTATAAGGATGATTGTTGAAATTGGAAAGTAAAACCATTAATTTTGGGGCATTGTATATTTCTGTGCTACATGAAGGAAAGTAGTTTGTGTCGTCCCTGAAACTCTGGATACAGAGTTGACACGGATTACAGCAATCCTAAAATACCATAATATTTTGAAAATATGCAATCAAAAAGCAAAGCGATCGTATGTATATTGACTTACGACAGTCTTAACAGTGAGAACACTTTATAAAATAAATTCCACAATGTGTAGCGGCGAACAGACTTAGATTTCTGATGGTCTTAGATCGAGACCACATAGTGAAATAGTTATGTATATACTGATACACTCACCGGTTTACATTGACTACATGTTTGCGATAGTTACACAGTTTGGACAGTTAAAAAGTTAGTTTTACTACAAGTGAAGAGTTAGGAAGGCTACAGACTTATGGCTTTGTATGCACGCTCTAAATACCCATCGTAGATGATCAGAAGGACTGACAGGTCAGTATATGTCAGTGTGTATCTTGTATTACGTCATAGCTCGTGAAGCTGGAGTTACCTGTTCTGAATGGTGAATCACACTCAATTCATTTTAAGCTTTTGCTGAAACATTTTTAGAAAAATTACGGAAGCTGTTTCATTATCTTATCATTATTTGAGCAGGAAATTTGGTTTTAGGTGTAAGATTAAGATTTGAATCTTGTTTATTTTGATAAGTGTAAACTATTTTACATGTTGAGATGTTAAAAACTCCGCTGTTTGAATGGAGCTGCAGGGCCAAATGACCACAACTAGAAAGTGATAGTATTCACATAAACAAATCATCAGATATACTCAGATGTAACTTTGGAGATCTCATTCATGTTTTTCCGGATTATAATAAACTCCTGTATTAAAACTGCTATAATCTGGCAATTGGTTGTACATACTGTGAGAATGAGATGTGTCTGTGAGATTGGTTGTACAAAAGATCTATAGTGCTCGGATGTGTTATAAATATATTTAACCTGTCCAGGGCAATACGTCCCATATGTCGCCATTAAACAATATGATATAAAGTAAATAATATATCAACTTTGAACAAAACCATTCTTTTAGATTCAAACGTTATTCACAAGAGAAATGTTTGAAAGGTAGAACTGAAAAAGGCAGTTTTGATATTAGATATTTCTTTGAAAGCCATATGGATTTTCGAAGATCATTTTGTGATAAAAATGATTTTTACCATTGATATTATTTTATGTGTGGGAAAATGTTATTTTTTTTTATGTGACATTTTACAAATTTTACTGCCAAATAATGATTTGACAGAAATTTTGAAGGTGCTTACTGTGTTTGTAAATTAGAAGAAAAAATTAAGTAGTTGCTAGGGGTAACATGCGTGCTTCTTCCGTCCAAATATTGAAAGCTAGTGATGCAAGAGCAGGGTTTTGACTTTTCTGAAATCCTTTTGTCAAAATTGGACATATGCAAATATTGTACACATTTACATCATTCTATATGCAAAATGAGTGCCTCGCCCATCTGGAGCACCTGTAAGAAATATGTAGTTTCTACACCAGGAATTAGGTTAAGCACTATCCCTGTGTGTTGAAATATCCTGAAATTCCATGTATGTTTCTGAAATATCAACATGTGAATGGTTATGACAAATACCTCCTGGCTGGGTAATACGAGACCATAATGTTCCACCTGATGGTCATGAATACTTCCGTATCACACAGGGAAACAAGCACCAGAAACAAGATTATAGTAACTACTGCTTTGGTTTGGTTACCATTTATCATTAAATAGCCAGTTTTGGTCTTTGTATTTCAATATGAAAGTAAAAGGAAACATGTTTGGTAATTACATTAATATACATAGTTTTAAAAAAGGCAATGATTTTTAAATAATTCATATTTTAAGTTGAAATAAAGGACAGAAAGTGCTTCACCTTTGTCCAGGTCAATACAATACATAGATAGATAGAAACCATGCAGCTATCATGCCTTTAGTACTTCTGGGTATTATACTAATTCAGATATAGAAGCTAAATTTATCTGATTACAAACTTTTAGTGTTTCTCAAACAATGTTGTTTCAGAATTCTAGAATGGAAAGATCTGTCAGACAGATCTGTGTTATATTTCATTAATATCAACATGTTTGAATGATACTCTAAGTATATATATCACAAGATAAGTTGGAATTTTATTATGAAATAATTGAAAATTCTCAATTTTAACAGACATGTTTCACTATGCTTCATTTTCCCACCATATTTGTAACATATGAGTAGCATTATCATTGTATATATGTACACAGTTTTCATGACGTTAAGCTGTTTCATGGTGTACACCATTGTTTCATTATGTACAACGTTGTTGTATCCGCATGTGCATGAACAGGTTAGTAATCATTGTACATCATCATCAACATAATAAAATAAAAATCATCGACAATAGATCGTATTTGTTGTTGTTTTTGCATTGGATATACCAGATCTACATGCGGTGTTGTAGATGTGTCGAGAGCACATCTTGAGGTTGAACACCATTGACATTAAGAAGATTGTGACTCCCAGTGATGAAACTATTGAACGCTGTAGCATCGAGACGACTTTAGCTTCAATATCTTATTTATATTTTTCGATAGTGCTAGGAATATTGTGACTCGCATCTGAACACAATGAATGTTGTTGCTCGAAGACATCACATACATGTACCTTACATAGACAACAATCACTGAATCTGTCATGATGATCGTAGTATTTCAGCCATGCTGACCTAGTTTGAGATGTTCGCACTGCTACAAATTACCACTCCGTCACATGACCGCTGGTCCTGGCATGTATTGTAACCACGTGATCAAACTATGTGATGTTTACTGCTAGCAGTATGTCTTGATTTACTTTATGAATGTTAGCACACATAGAGTCATCTTATTTAGGTATTGTCACAATATTTAGTGATGATATTTCAAGTGGCGAGGACTTAATGACTATTTTGCTGACTGTGACCCTGAACAGCACTTTACATCTTATAAACACTTATCAGTCATCCAGACCGGCCTCAGGTGATCTTCATTTGGTAGCATCTCACTCTGCCAGAGACTGGGGCAGTCAAAATGTGTTCTTTTTGTAAAAACAAAAGAAGAAGAAAACATTCACTAAGGTGTTTCCATGTTATAATGTTTCAGGTAAAATATATACAATGCAACATTGATAAAAGTTAGAATGTTTGTTTCCGGACATTTTCATGTAATCAGAATACACTAGGGAGATTCTGTGGCAGCTGCCTAGACTTAGTGGGTTAGATGACTGTGCTGACGAATATATACCTCACTCTGAGAGTGTGGGTTCGAATCCTGGACAGGACTCAACCCAAATAGCACAAGGATCTGTGATTTACTGAGAAAGTGCAATCCCAAATATGATAGAATTTACACTAGGGACAAGGAAATGTGACTATGTGACATTTTAAACATATTTTTTCAATATGAAGTCAAGCGAGTCTACATCTTCATCTTCCTGACTAAGTTCATCCATATTCATGTATTTTGTATGCTTTCCACGGCTACCGGAGTGATGCTGGTTGGTGGATGATAGAACGGCCTCAACGTGAGAAGGAAGACCCAGAATTCACCACAACTAGGTCATGTGATGTGCATGTTAGTACGCAGTATTCTATGTGAACATGTGACATTTTGTTTTTTCAGTGTTGTGAGGACTTGATGCCTCATTACTTGGGATGGCGATGTTAAAGGGACGAGATTCAGGTTTATTAGACGTTTATTTGACACCTGGAGCTGAGGCTTTATACTAGTTAGACATAGATGTTTACTAATCAGCACTCACCTATCGCTACTTAACTATTGCCAAACAATCGTGCTGAATCAACCCTTAGGATGCTTCGCGCCCCCCGCCCATGTAATAATAAAGTAGTGCAAGGGCCAGGAGGATGCCGTGCCCCCCCATGTAATAATAAAGTAGTGCAAGGGCCAGGAGGATGCTTCGTGCCCCCTGCCCATGTAATAATATAGTAGTGCAAGGGCCAGGAGGATGCTTCGTGCCCGCCCATGTAAAAATAAAGTAGTGCAAGGGCCAGGAGAATATTTCTAAAATACTAAAGGATGGTTGGGTAGCGTAATGGTTAAAGCGTTCGCTCATCACGCTGAAGACCTGGGTTCGATTCCCCACATGGGTACAATGTGTGAAGCCTATTTCTGGTGTCCCTCAGCCTATTGCTGGAATATTGCTAAAAGCAGCGTAAAACCAAACTCACTCACTCACTCACTGTTATATACTACACAAAAGAAGTTGAAGAGATTGGTTAATTTGTCATGGCTGATTTAACCATAGTCATAACAGAAAAAACAGGTTTTCCTTAGCTTCTGTACAGTAGTATTAAACTGCAGTTCAATTTAATTCTGGAAATGCCACAAAGTAAATACAACATTGATAAAGGGCAGTGCTGAATAAGACCGTTGTCAGTGACTGACGTTTGATGTCGGAACACTGGAGGACAAACTCAGACATCAATGACACAAAACTGGATTAATTGTAGTTACCAGGCAACTATACATGCCTCATAAATGGCTATTTCGGTACTTAATGCAAAATACCCAGAACAACATGGACTGGTGTGTTCAGTCTCAGTTGGGGGTGCTTAAAGAGATGACCTCAGGAGGTGCTTAGTGCGGGACCCCAATATGGTAAATATAATATTTCTACGTCTTAAATCATCTCCCAATCCCAATTTATGTTAAAAGATGAACGATCCTGACTTGGCCTAGTCTGTTTCCCAATTACATTTTCCATATTTTGTGCATGTAATACACTTGATATAACAGTTTTCATGTAATACTAGTTTCCCCTCCATCCTTACCTGGGGGTCAGCAGAATTTGTAAGCAATTTTGAAAATGATCCCTTGAGAAAATCAAACACTTGAATACCTGTATACTCATTCCGAATGTATTGTTCCAAGGTAGACGAATGCTTGGTCTCTGAATAGATATCATTTTGAAAGTAACAAATAAACCCATTTAAATTAAAAGGGACTCTGAGACAGATTATGCCCATGGATGTGTAGTATTTCTGTCCTTTAAAGAAACAAGTCTATATAAGGCCAGTATGTCAGTCTGTTAGAAGGACAATATGTTCTGTTTATGTATATTTTGTAGACATTATCATTTAAGCAATCATGACCTTAGAGACTTGTGCAAGTCTACCCCACAAGATGTCACCTATTTCCTTACTGAACCAGTGACCATAGATGTTTATGTCATTTATTTTATTTTTTTCATAGTTTCCAATCCTTGACTAACAAGTAGTTCAGTACAGATATAGATCCTCACTCAACCATTGGTTTGAAGTGACAGTTAATGGCCCAACATGTCTTTGACGGCCATGTTGATGTAAACTATTCTGGGCACTGCATGTAACTCCCCTCTGCATGATTCTACTGCATGTCTGCATGTCAATGTTTATGTTAATTTTAATGTCACAATTCAGAAGTCTTGAAAAATAATTGATAATTGTTATTAATACTCTTATGTTTCATTTGTGTTATTACCAGGTTTATGTTTGTTGTTGAAAGCTGCAGTGATATGACCACAATTAAACAGACTGGATCAGACAATCCAGTGATTAAGATTATGAGTCACAATCTACCTTACTGGGTGGTGGTGGTGGAATTGGGTTTAACGTCGTACTTGAGAATATTTCGCTCATATGACGACGTGCATGCGTGTGTATGTGTATGTGCGGCTGCTTGTACTAGTCCAGACTTAAGCTGGTTTTATAGTGCTAGCCCACTGAGATACCACGCCGCAGTGTAGCATGAATACCCCACAAGACACAGTATACTGACTCCGAGCCGACCAGTCCTTGTTGTACCCATTAATGCCGAGCGCCAGGCAGGGACCAACAAGTACCATATTTTAACGTCTTTTTGTATGATGCGATCGGGGATTGAACCCGCGACCTTCTGCACTCCGGGCGGACGCTCTAACCACTACACCACGGAGGCGGTCAACCTTACTGGGATACTATGATGACATGTATTAGCCAAGTCAGCAGGCCATCCATGTACTGTCATGTTTATGTCACTAGCTTACAGAATATGATGACTATAAAGAAAATGTGAATTAATAACTATATTACCATCTTCAGTTTTTCCGTTATTATGATATGATTGTTGGTAGTATTTATGAAAACTTACTACATGTATATCCAAGATCTTTAATGATGCAATGTTGAAATGAAACAAAGATGTTATTTTAGTCAAATGGAAAAATCAAAAACCAAAGTGAACATCATAAAACAATGAAATGACGTCATGAGCTGTACTCAAGTATTCTGGACGTTTTCTGATGTATCCTGAAAGCTATCCTTTTCTGGAAGGCTTTTCGTCCACTGCTCTGCTTTGAACCATCAGCAGATATCTGCAATCGGGGAGACCTGGCGTATATTTTACTGACGCTTCTTTAAGAACGACTTGTAGTGACACTGCTCAGTACCAAACAGCCTGGTGCACATTATCAACACCTTGGTGCTTTCTGTGGAACTCAAATCTTCATAGTATGGATTATAACTAACTGTAAGATTAATAACATGAGTAATATGCAAAAATTCAAGTTCTTTGTGGGTACCTGTAAGTGTCACAGTGATATTAAAACAATTGTAAAATACATATGTTGTTTAACATTTTCAACATTGGCGTGACTATTGAGATACTATCTAAACGTTGAACAAAGTATATATGAATTAATTTGAGATGTCAACTTTATAGTTGATAAGTTCAGAATATCAAAGGATTTTCATAAACTGGGAAAACACGAAATAGGAAAATAAACGACCAACATGCTTCCTTCATATAACCCACATCCAACCTTTGTATGATATATATCCAACTAGACAATATATCTGGGTGGGCAACCTACATCATATGTGTAAATGAAATAATCATCAACATGGATATATCATCAATATTTTTTTCCATAGAGTCACTATTAGGCTTCGACATTTTCTCACAGACAACACCAGTACATTATATAGGCCTACTTTGGTTTTACTGATTAGTTCAAAAATAGTTTCTAATGAAGTTCCATCTGGTATAGAGTACTGTGGGAAATCTCCATAACCTGATGTATTACACGGCCATTCTGTTAGGGGGCGGTGGGGTAGCCTAGTGGTTAAAGCGTTCGCTCATCACGCCGAAGACCAGGGTTCGATTCCCCACGTGGGTACAATGGGTGAAGCCCATTTCTGGTGTCCCCGGCCGTGATATTGCTGGAATATTGCTAAAGGCAGCGTAAAACCTAACTCACTTACTCTCCCATTCTATGAGGATACACACATAGTAATTCGTTAACCAGTCCATGTTGAGACAGTGGCGACTGCCGTAGCACTACGGTGACATTTAGAAACTGGGACCATGCACCAATTTTCTGCAGTCTATCAG